ATGTCACAGGAGACATGACTGTGACAGATGAGCCATCACAACGGGCTCACCATAGCCCGTGCTACTTGGAACGTTTTGTTCCCAATAGCTGAATCTATAACAACTTGGCGCTCATGACCCTCACTCCCCGGCCAGTCTCCATAATACATTCCCCCGCCTGAGTCATGGCTGCCAGCGTCCGCCGGGTCTTTCCAATCAGTCGCAGTTTCGTATTTAATTCCTCCACTCTTACTAAGGCCGGGGTCCCCCATTATCTGGATCATCACTATAGGGCCGGGGTCCCCATTATCTGGATCATCACTATAGGGCCGGGGTCCCCCATTATCTGGATCATCACTATAGGGCCGGGGTCCCCCATTATCTGGATCATCACTATAGGGCCGGGGTCCCCCATTATCTGGATCATCACTATAGGGCCGGGGTCTCCGGGAGTCCGTGAGAAAGTGACAAGACCTTGAGAAGGGAAGGAAACTATCAGGAGAGAGCGCAAAGCCATTACCACTATATCTTGAGGTTATCTTGAGATGATTTCGGGGCTCTAGTGTCCCCGCGGCCCGGTCCTCGACCAGGCCTCCACCCCCAGGAAGCAGCCCGTGACAGCTGACTAACACCCCAGATACCTATTTTACTGCTAGGTAACAGGGGCATAGGGTGAAAGAAACCCTGCTTATTGTTTCTCGCCGGGGTCCGGGATCGAACCCGGAACCACAGGATCACAAGTCCAGCGTGCTGTCCGCTCGGCCGACCGGCTCCTATATAAGATAGAGCCGAGAAGGCTGAACTAAAGACTAAAACCAGTGCGCTAAAGCAGAAGCGAAAAAAGAAACAGGGCAAAAGGAGGAAACCCCCCCCCCCCCCACCTCTATTTAAACCTTTGACCCAAATATCACAGTAACAAGGTTATCGCGAATAACCGAACTCAATTACGGGCTCACCATAGTCCGTGCTACATGGACATTTCATTCTGAATACCTAAATCTAAACAACAACAATAACAAGGGTGAACTACCCACTGCTCAGGCACTAGTGCCAGGCAGGAGCCAGTCTCCCCCCCCCCCGAGGCTTGAGCACCCTCCCACACATCTTGACCTTGATGGTTGACCTAATTCCCCAGGGCTGACTTGGGTCACTGGCCAGTTGTAGTTCGGGCTGTGACGAGGCTCCTGAAGCCTCCACACGGAGGTAACACAGTCACCAGGGCCACTTATTCTCCTAAGTGTCAATTTTCATTATTTTATCAGCAAAGTCATGGAACCTTAAGGGAGCCGGTCGGCCGAGCGGACAGCACGCTGGACTTGTGATCCTGTGGTCCCGGGTTCGATCCCAGGCGCCGGCGAGAAACAATGGGCAGAGTTTCTTTCACCCTATTCCCCTGTTACCTAGCAGTAAAATTGGTGGAGGCCTGGTCGAGGACCGGGCCGCGGGGACACTAAAAAAGCCCCGAAATCATCTCAAGATAACCTTAAGATAACCTTCTATAAGTGTTTCAACACTACACTCTCTTATAAGTGTAGTGTTAAAACGCTAGGTCTTGAGGTTATCTTGAGTTGATTTCGGGGCTTAGTGTCCCCGCGGCCCGGTCCTCGACCAGGCCTCCACCCCCAGGAAGCAGCCTGTGACAGCTGACTAACACACAGGTACCTATTTACTGCTAGGTAATAGACGCATCAGGGCGGAAGAAACTCTGCCCGTTGTTTCTCTCCGGCGCCCGGGATCGAACCCGGGACCACAGGATCACACGCGTCCAGTGTTCAGTCCGCTCAGCCACTTACTCCGCCGGTAAGTTTATTTTGTAAATCAGGTTTCTGCACTGAGGGAAGTTTAATGAGAGCAGTGGTCACGGAAGTTGTGTCCGTAATGTGTAGCGTGTCAGGGGAGTGTACAGGGAATGTGTAGCGTGTCAGGGGAGTGTACAGGGAATGTGTAGCGTGTCAGGGGAGTGTACAGGGAATGTGTAGCGTGTCAGGGGAGTGTACAGGGAATGTGTAGCGTGTCAGGGGAGTGTACAGGGAATGTGTAGCGTGTCAGGGGAGTGTACAGGGAGGTGTACATTGTTCTCAGGAACACTGGGAACACTGAGAACACCTTATACCGATGCTTCCAATGGTCTCTACGCTAATCTCAAGATAAATACTGAGAGTAGAGTTAGGCTAGGTTAGGAAATAGAGAATAGGGACAGAGAACAGGTACAGGAAACATAGAACAGGCGCAGGAAACAGAGAACAGGCGCAGGAAACAGAGAACAGGCACAGGAAACAGAACAGGCGCAGCAAACAGAACAGGCGCAGGAAACAGAGAACAGGCGCAGGAAACAGAACAGGCGCAGGAAACAGAGAACAGGCGCAGCAAACAGAACAGGCGCAGGAAACAGAGAACAGGCGCAGGAAACAGAGAACAGGCGCAGGAAACAGAACAGGCGCAGCAAACAGAACAGGCGCAGGAAACAGAGAACAGGCGCAGGAAACAGAGAACAGGCGCAGGAAACAGAGAACAGGCACAGGAAACAGAGAACAGGCGCAGGAAACAGAGAACAGGCGCAGGAAACAGAGAACAGGCGCAGGAAACAGAGAACAGGCGCAGCAAACAGAACAGGTGCAGGAAACAGAGAACAGGCGCAGGAAACAGAGAACAGGCACAGGAAACAGAGAACAAGTACAGGAAACCGAGAACAGGCGCAGGAAACCGAGAACAGGCGCAGGAAACAGAGAACAGGCGCAGGAAACAGACAACAGGCGCAGGAAACAGAGAACAGGCACAGGAAACAGAGAACAAGTACAGGAAACAGAGAACAGGCGCAGGAAACCGAGAACAGGCGCAGGAAACAGAGAACAGGCGCAGGAAACAGAACAGGCGCAGGAAACAGAGAACAGGCGCAGGAAACAGAACAGGCGCAGGAAACAGAGAACAGGCGCAGGAAACAGAACAGGCGCAGGAAACAGAGAACAGGCGCAGGAAACAGAGAACAGGCGCAGGAAACAGAACAGGCGCAGGAAACAGAGAACAGGCGCAGGAAACAGAAAAGACACAGCATAACATAAAAGATAGAGGAGTAAATCCAGACGGACAGGACAGGAGAGGAAATGGAGGCAGGGAGGAAAAATGGTAAAATTGGGGAAGAGGAAACAGGAAGAGCATAGGGGAGAGGCAGCAGAGAGTAGGAGGAGAGAGAGAGAGAGAGAGAGAGAGAGAGAGAGAGAGAGAGAGAGAGAGAGAGAGAGAGAGAGAGAGAGAGAGAGAGAGAGAGAGAGAGAGAGGTCTATTAGCCCACACTAGGCAACTAATATTTATACCCAACTAAACTTCCAACATGCTGTATGTCTAACCTACGCATGAAACAACCCCCACGTCTACTCGGTAAATCGTTCCATAAATCCACAACCCCTATTCCCAAAACAGTGTTTACTTGGGTCTTTTCTGAAAACTAAACTCATCCAATTTCTATCCAGTGTTTCGTGTTCCATTTTCTGTTGATATATTTAACACGCAATTAATATTCACTTTGTCATACCTTCACATCCGTTTGTGCTCTTCAGTCAAGTCATTCCTTACGCTTCGCCTTTCTAGGGAATAAAGTTAGCTTTTTTAAATGGTGTGGAGTTGAGCTGGTGAAAATGAAATGGTGTGGGGCTGTGTTGTTGAGGTCTTCACGGGATATATGGACACCTGTGGAGGGAGGTGTGGTGACACACCTGTGGAGGGAGTGTGGTGGCACACCTGTGGAGGGAGGTGTGGTGACACACCTGCGGAGGGAGGTGTGGTGACACACCTGTGGAGGGAGTTGTGGTGACACGTGTGTGGAGGGAGTTGTAAAGAAAGGCAGACCCCCTCTCCAATCCGTACCTCTCCCCGCCTCTACCCACAGCTCTCTCCCTCGACAGGTGACAGGTGACATACGAGTCGCTGACAGCTAGTTGTCAAGGTGTAAACAGACTCGAGGAATGAAGACGGATTGGTTCCTGACGACCAGATAAGCACTCAAACTCCTCCCCTTCCCCCCCCCCCCCTCCCCTCCCCCTCCGATACCGCGTCTGACTGAAATGATAACATATTTTTGCAGGACGTAAAGTCAACACTAAACGACACCACTTCATCTCACGCGAACATATGCAACCCGAAAATGAAACACTGTTGAATGACACTTAAAATGAGGAGGGAAAAATATTAATTCCAGATATTAGTTCTAGATATTAATTCTAGATATTAATCTCTAAATTGCTTTCTAGTCTTGTTTAAATCTTTTACACGGGTAAATATATATTATTGCTTACAGTAATAATTGATAAAATGTTATTAGTGACCATTAATCCATAAGTTGAGGAAGAACAAATATTAAATACCAAAAATATTGACATATAGACCTAAGAGAGAAATGGGGAATTAAAAACGATGATTATGTCTGAAGGCTTAATTGTCAGACTTAACAAGGTGCACGTCACCAGCAGCCTTAGTGAGCGTCTGTCACGGGCCTCAGGCACCAATTGCACCAAGACAGAAAAATGACAATAATTAGTGCAATCTTGCAACTACATCCTTGCAACATTTCATATCATCCCCTCCTGACATTTCCTTTCAACAGTCATAAACGTGTAAGTTTTGGTTGCAAAGCAACGGCAAAGTTATATATATATGAGCTAACGAGGAGCAAGGAACCCCCTCTTGTGAACCTGGGGAGGGGGGGGGGGGTTGACAGCTGACGTTCTAGTCATATTAAAAAAAAAATGATCTGAGCCATATTTAAGTATATTACAGTTGAATTCCTCCCGCCTGATGCCTTGGCTGCCTTGAACAGCAGGAACTTGGGTGATGGTGTTATGGGTGAATAGTGGGTGGGTGATTGTGGGAGGGGGGAATACTCGATATGTACTTGAGGTAAATACATATATACACAGGTGTCCTGTCCCCGACACTAGGTATTTTTAAATACAGTTGACAGAAAACGGAGAGGTGGGTAATATAGTAGCGTAAACTTATCTATTTGTGGCGTGAGAGAAGAGACTGACCTGGCGGGCAGGACGGAGGCGGTGATGTCCTTCAGTCTAGTAAGGGAGTGGTGACGGGTCCTGTCGCAGAGGTGCGGGAGACCTGAAGACACTGAGGGCGGGGTGCGGGAGCCCGTCCTGAAGGCGTTTGACCACAGCCTCCCCGTTGAAGATGTACTTGAGGGAGTGGTGGCGCCGGATGGGCTCCCGCGAGAGCTTGAGGTAGGCGGAGATGGGGGAGAGACGCTCTGACGAGGACTCCTCCATGGTCTGGCGGCAGCTGGCGCAGCTTGGCAACAGCTGCTGCAGCTTTGGGGCAGCTGGCGGAGCTTGGGAACAGCTGCTGCAGCTTTGGGGCAGCTGGCAGAGCTTGGCAACCGCTGGCGGAGCTTGGGAACAGCTGGGGCAGCTTTGGGGGAACTGGCGCAGCTTGGAAACGGCTGATGCAGCTTTGGGGCAGCTGGCGGAGCTTGGGAACAGCTGGCGCAGCTGGCAAGGCTTCGGAGGGGATACTTAGGCACTCGTGTGGACCTTCAAACACCCGCGAGAAGCAGGCTCTTCACGGGTATCACAGATATTGTGCGAGTAATTAAAATGCTAAATCTTTATCAATAATATATAACGACCTCTTCAATATCATAACTGTATAATTATGTATGTATCCTGGTATGTATATTTATGTAGCTATTTGCTGGAAATTTATCAGTGAACTGCAAATTGACAGAGTTTGAGGTTCGTTTACAATGGAGAGGTGATAAGCGCACTCATGCTCTTAGCGAAGATCAACCCGCAAGACTTGTCCCCAAGTGACGTACTAGTGAAGAGGAGAAACGAATGCACTAATTAGAGTACTAGTGTAGACGAAAGCTCAGCCAGGCATCACGTAATTCTTCCTCGACACACTTGAACTAACTCTCACACATGATGCAAATGTCCATCGCTACAAAGGTCAGGTTAGGATGGCACGGTCCAGTATATGTCTCACTTCCAGTATGGATTTCCCGGAGACTATCCGTTGACAGTTTCCAGCTTGCGAGGCACGAATTTTTTTGCAACTAATTCGACACAAAGACCAATTAATTAATGGATCGACAGAATTCAGGATACATTTATTTTTTTAATTGCAAGAAATCTTATGTTTTTTTTTGGTCAGGGATGCCAGTCAGTGTGCCAAGGGTGTCTTAAGGTGTAGTGTGGCTCAGAACTGTGAGAACCCCTGGCACTGTTTCTGGATGTGGCCGTGGTGTGTGGTAGGGTCTGAGAGAGCCGTGGTGTGAGGTAGGGTCTGAGAGAGGGTGTGTGGTGGCACGGGCACCCCAGGAGGGTGTGGTGCCTGGTTAGGGAGTGTGGCGTCTATAGAGGCCTAGAGGGGCGTGGTGCACGGAGGACCGTCCTCGGCGGCGTCCAGGGACCTACTAACCTGTTGGCTACCTGGAGACCGGCGCCACGCACTCTCTGGCCACGCCGCCCGGTGTACCTCATGCCGCGTGTGACGTCATCACAACAATACCACTAATACCACCACAACAATATACCACCACCACACACCGTAATCACTACCACCACCACCACTCACCACAACCACAACGATTCTGAATAATATAAGGAAGTACTGGCACCCAGTACGGGTTGTCAACAAGTGGAAGGGACTGAGGGAAGAGGTACTAGAAGCCACCTCTATCCATAAACTCTCCAGCCCAATTCGACAAAGACTTTGTACGTTTAGAATAGTTAGATTATAGCGCCGTGGGTACAAGAGGGGCTAGCAGGCAGGGCATCAAGAGCTATATGACCTCACTTCTCCGTAGTCACGGATAGATAAGTATTGATAGGTAAGATAAGTTTCACCACCACCACCACTATCCCCACCACCACCATCATCCCCACCAAAAGAAGCACGCATCATCAGCAAGAAAAACAGCAGCACCACCCCCAGGAGCACCAGCACCACCAGCAGAAGCAGCAGGAGGTAGAGCAGAGCCCAGTACACACACCACAGCAGGTTGTCACCCTCGGCCTCACAGTTCACTACACGCCTCCCACCATCCACCTCACCTGCCCAACAATACACACTTCTTATACACAACTCTCCTTCTACTTCCCAACTAATGTCATATTCTCTATTTTCACACATTTGATGTGTTTTCTGCCCAAAACGCTGTGTGCCTTAGTGGCTTTGCAAGAATGTCAAAATACAATACCAATCCTATGTAATCTCACAAACCATTTGTACCTTCTTGTAAATAAAATTATTATTATTATTATTATTATTATTATTATTTATTATTATTATTATTATTATTATTATTATTATTATATTTGGAGCCTTGTCGCCACTCGGAGCAAGAAGTACTCACATTGTTGTAAGTTGCGGGGGTTGAGCTCTGGCTCTATGGTCTCGCCTCTCAACTGTGTATCAACTGATGTACAGATTTCTGAGCCTACTGGGCTCTGTCATATCTACATTTGAAACTGTGTATGGAGTCAGCCTCCACCACATCACTGCCTAATGCATTCCATTTATTAACTACTCTGACACTGAAAGAAATCTTTCTATTGTCTCTGTGGCTCATCTGGATACTAAGTTTCCACCTGTGTTAAAGATAAGTATTCACCTACTTGTGCTTGCGGGGGTTGAGCTCTGCTCTTTCGGCCCGCCTCTCAACTGTCAGTCAACTGTTTCTACTATTACTTTTTTTTCACACCACACACACACACACACACACACACACACACACACACACACACACACACACACACACACACACACACACACACACACACACACACACACACACACACACACACCAGGAAGCAGCCCATGACAGCTGACTAACTCCCAGGTACCTATTTACTGCTAAGTAACAGGGGCATAGGGTGAAAAAATCTCTGCCCATCGTTTCTCGCCGGCGCCCGGGATCGAACCCGGGACCACAGGATCACGTGTCCAGCGTGCTGTCCGCTCGCCCACCGGCTCCCAAAGTGTGAGTTAAAGTGAGTGTGTGAGTGCGTGTTAAAGACAAGCTTGTTCTGGTATTTTCACTGTATGATGTGTTGTTTGCTTAATTTTTAAAATACAAAGTGCTTGATAATGCTACAAATTGTCTGTAATTTCTCAACTTTTATTCAGGTGATGATCGGTTCATTGAGGGAGTCACTGAACTTCCCCTAATAATACCCGCCCTTCCCTCGGCCTTCATAGAAAACGATCTCCTAGTGAGAATAATAGAAAACGGTAAATAAAGAAGGCTAATAAGGCTAACTTAGCCTTATTAGCTAACTTAGATTTAAGGCTAACTTAGCCTTAGATTTAAGGCTAACTTAGATATTTCACATCTTTGGGTATTTTGGGTATTTTAGGACTTGATTTGTATTCTCATTGTGAGGGACAGGAAGCCTCTCAGGATCATCGAGGTCCTCATAGCTCGACCTTCCGTAGGTTGCAACCTGCAAAAGTTGACTAACGCCCCATAGGGGTTCCATAATTCCCTATTTACTACTAGGTGAACAGAGGGTGTAAGCGGAAAACCTGTCCTCCGAGAAGGATTTTACCCGAATTTACCTGAGGGGGCCACCATCTATCTCGTGGCGACGACGGGGACAGGAAACTGCCGGCTTGTCAGAGGTCCCCCCATATTCTCCATGAGAATTTCTCATATTGATATAAGCCTAGGGTACATGCGCAGGCAGAGAGTATAGTGTCCTCTCGTATGGTACACGGTGTATAATTTGACTTATAAATCCCTACCGGCCAAAACATGATCCCTGGAAACACAAACCGAAAATGTCTCTATTGTCCGCTTGTTACAACTTGTAATAAATTTGTTACATCTTGGCTTAACGTGTTTATGACGGATTAGAACGTTGTTACAACTTGCTATATTGGTTGTTATAACTGGTTAGGTGTTAAAACTTGTTCGAACGTTGTACCAACGTCGTAGTTTCGGTGTGTGTTTGGCGATGTGCTATAAATCTTAGCGGATCGTAACATTCAGGCCGTCACAACGTCACCAAAGTGATGAACTAAATAGACCCAAACCTAACCTAACCGAGGACCTACGAATAGAAAACGGGATATCCCGTCAATTTTGCGAGCCGCTGTGATTTTAATACATCAGTTTTTTTTTTATAGGATTTATACGACAAAATGCCGATGGACTATTCGAAAGGACGGGTTGCAAAATTTGACGGGTTGTCCCGTTTTCTATTTGTGTGTCCTCGATTAGGTTGGGTTCGGGTATATTTGGTACACCGGTTTGGTAGCGTGGCAACTTGAGAGGGCGGGATATTCCCCCCCCCCCCCAAAAAAAAAAAAGAGTTAACCCTTCCACTTCCTAAATTTGTTAGTGTCATGAGCATTATCGTACTCTATTTACCTCCTAATTCTGTTTCTCACTGAATTCCTATTGAGGATTGGTTCATACAGGTGAACCATACGTGTGTTTACCAGTTGATTGACAGTTGAGAGGCGGGACCAAAGAGCCAGAGCTCAACCCCCTCAAGCACAAATAGGTGAGTATAGGTCTTCAACATAGCATATTGTTGGTCTTACTGATCCTCTTATTGGAACTCTTCCGTAATGTGTTTTAAACACCAGTATAAACTCTTGTTAACATGTAGTGATCAGAGACCTGTATATGGTGTGGGAGCCGGTCGGCCGAGCGGACAGCACGCTGGACTTGTGATCCTGTGGTCCCGGGTTCGATCCCGGGCGCCGGCGAGGAACAATGGGCAGAGTTTCTTTCACCCTATGCCCCTGTTACCTAGCAGTAAAATAGGTACCCGGGTGTTAGTCAGCTGTCACGGGCTGCTTCCTGGGGGTGGAGGCCTGGTCGAGGACCGGGCCGCGGGGACACTAAAAAGCCCCGAAATCATCTCAAGATAACCTCAAGATGGTGGTCTGTCCTCTTCATATCTCCTTTATCCTGGCTGACGTTGGATGTGTGTGTTCACCTAGTTGTCTTCACCTAGTTGTGCTTGCGGGGGTTGAGTTCTGCTCTTTCGGTCCGCCTCTCAACTGT